TCCTGACACGCTCTCCTTGGAGGAGGGGTCTTCACCACACAGTCCTGGATGCTGGAGGTTCATACAGGGTGGAAGGAAGAGTTCTTTCCCACACAGTCCTGGAGGGCAGAAGCTGATCCAGGGTGGAAGGAAGACGGCGAGACTCCAGTCAAGATACGGCGGTTGCGGAGTCTGCGGTGGTTGTGGTGTCTGCTGCAGTGCTTGGAGTCCTCAGGAAGCGCTAGGAGCATCCGTCAATGGAGGGTACTCAGTCGGAGTACAGGGAGCTCCGCTACAGCGATATTTTACCCCTATCTCTCTAGGCAGTGGATACATTAGTATAACATCCAAAACTAGAAAAGTTAAAATTTCTGGGGAAATTGTGAGAAGTGTTCTTGCCTCCACCAGTAGTCTACAACTGGAGTGAGCGACGTAACTGTTATCATTTATATAACACATTTAATTGCAACGTTGTTGCACAGTTACATTAAACCATACATTTATAAAAACATTAGTAGGTGTTCAAAAGGCCCTGTCTATGACATCACTTGCTGCAGCAGCCTTGCACAGGTCAGAGTATTTTGGCGGTTGCCATCTTCAAACGGTCGTATTTTAAAAACTATACATCCTACAGCGAAGAGCTTTATATTGTGAGAATCACAAGACCCAGACCTACATTTTGATGCATAGTATGTCTATGAAGTATTTAAAATGAAGGCACAGTCGCAGTTTAGAAATTGCACTTCAAATTTGAGCTTTGCAGAGTGAAGTTTCAATGAATGTCAATGGACAGCGTTAGTTGCAAACAAATGATTATATTGTGAAAACTATCAGGACTATGGCTTAGCCGTTGACATGTTTAGTGGCAGCAGGGATAGCTGAACGTTTTGATATAAGATTTGTGTAGGTGGGCCTGAAAATAAGGGAGCGGTGGCAGTTTAGAAATCATGTCCTGATTTTCAGCTTTTGCCAGCTCCCACTCTAGCTTTGCCATTCATTCCTATGGGACAAATTGCGCCACAAGAACGACGATATTCCGTGAACCATTCGGCGAAACGTTCCACAAAGTAATAGCAATCCGATCGGGAACAATCTGCACGTTTTGGTAAATTTTTGTCTATGTAGTGTAAAAACTATGCAAGAACACTTAACTAACTAAAGCTGAGATTCTAAATAGCATAACTACATCTGTCTGGATACTGCCTTTGAATTTTTGCATGAAAAACGTAGAGACAAAACTACATCAAGATTAAGTTCAGTTTAAACATGCTCACTCTATATGTGAGGTATGACATGGAGAAACTGTGCCTACACGTGTTGTACGCATTTGTTTATGTACAGGTAATATGTTATCTAGACATGTAATTGTAGTTGAAAGGTACAGGGTACGTATATTAATTAACAAAACTCAACAGTAAAGTAGACAGGTAGGGCTGTCTTGTCTCAAGTTGAATTCTAAGCAAAATTCTTATGACCTTAATGGTCTGTCATGCCAGGTGAGTAACAATGTGGTAATGGTAAACACTAATCCATCACAAGTTGAATTAAGGGCATATAGCCCACTATATCAGCGTGTGTATGAGCCATACCTAGTAAATATGTCGCTAAATGCAAGTTAGTTAGAAGTGGAGGATTGAAAGTAATAGAAGAGTCGCCTGTGCTGGGCTTACAGCGTGTCATCCGCAGTGAGATAATTCCATAGTGATATGGCAGGTGGTCGTGGTTGTTCTGCATTGCATCTACATTAGAGCCGTTATACCTGGAGTGTAATTTTCCCTGACATAGGGAGTTGCGGGTGGGCAGGAGGAGTTTGTTGCTATACCGGGTTTTAGGTTGACCATATAGCCCAGGTGTAGATTTGTGTGTGTGTGCTGTCAGGTTCTGACAGATGAAGGTGTGTAAAGCTGTGCGTGTAGTGTCAATTGTAGTAAAGCACCTTTTTATTCAAAATAAGTGCTTATATGGTTATAAAGCAAGTTGTAAGCAGTAATGACGAATAAACGTTAAAATCATCGAAAGCAGGATGTGTCATATAAGCAGAATTATATCTCTGGAGACATAGGCGTGCGCACGGGGTGTGCCGGGTGTGCCTGGGCACACCCTAATCCCCGTGGCACGCCTATGGTTTGAGTCCTGCAGGAACAGCGTCCCTGCACTTTTTTGAGCAGGAACGCTGTTCCTGCAGACACTCAGCACCCCCTGTCTCACCTCTTGCCCCCCCCCCTCTCTCCAGCTCAGCCGCGGCGAGGGAGCTCTCTGCTGTCTGCGCTCTGCTTCCTCTCGCCGCACGCTGATGCCGGAAGCCGGTATATGACGTCATATTCCGGCTCCCAGCTACAGCAGACAGCCCGCGCGGCGAGAGGAAGCAGAGCGCAGACATCACACAGCTCCCTCGCCGCGGCTGAGCTGGAGAGAGGCGCCCGCCCCACTGGACCCCAGGGACAAGTCCACGCCAGCACTCCAGGTAGGAGGCTGGGTGGACATTTTTTTTTAATTAAAATGTAATAATTTGTTCTTATGTGTGAGTGTGTCTGTGTGAGTGTGTGTGTCAGTGAGTGTGTGTGTGTGAGTGTGTGTCAGTGAGTGTCAGTGAGTGTGTGTGTTGTGTGTGAGTGTGTGTGTGTGTGTGTCTGTGTGAGTGAGTGTGTGTGTCTGTGTGAGTGAGTGTGTGTGTCTGTGTGTGTGTGTGTGTCTGTGTGTGAGTGTGTGTCAGTGTGAGTGAGTGTCTGTGTGAGTGTGTGTGTGTCTGTGTGTGAGTGTGTGTCTGTGTGAGTGAGTGTGTGTGTGTCTGTGTGAGTGAGTGTGTGTGTCTGTGTGAGTGTGTGTGTCTGTGAGTGAGTGTGTCTGTGAGTGTGTGTGTCTGTGTGTGGTGTGTGTGTCTGTGAGTGTGTCAGTGTGTGTGTCTGTGTGAGTGTGTGAGTGTGTGTGTCAGTGAGTGTGTGTGAGTGTGTCTGTGTGAGTGTGTGTGTGTGTGTCTGAGTGTGTGTGTGTGTGTGTGTGTGTGTGTGTGTGTGTCAGTGTGTGTCTGTGTGTGAGTGTGTGTGTGTCTGTGTGTGTGTCGAGTGTGTGTCTGTGAATGTATGTGTGTGTGTGTGTGTGTGTGTGTCAGTGAGTGTATGTGTGTGTCTGTGTGAGTGTGTGTCTGTGAATGTGTGTGTCTGTGAGTGTATGTGTGTGTGTGTCTGAATGTGTCTGTGAGTGTATGTGTGTGTGTGTCTGAATGTGTCTGTGAGTGTGTGTGTGTATGCATATATATATATATATATATATATGTATATATATATACACACACACGCAGAGCCGGCGCTATCTGAGTGCCGGCTCTGCTTTAAGCCTCCATGGGCCGGCAGGGAGACCAAAGATCTACCTCACTGGCCCACAGCAGCATGGAGGGAGGCAGGAGAGGACCCAGGGAGCTCTAGACAGAAGCTCCGCCAGGTTCCTCTCGTGATATCTGAGTGTTGCTGCGTCAACGCTCAGATCTCGCGAGAGTTAACTCTAGCCCTGCAGGCTAGAGTTCACTCTCCACTGGACCACCAGGGATGGCACATGGCAGCAAGGATTTACTAATCTGCCAAATCCCTCCAAACATACAGCACACACATACAGCACCTACACACATACAGCTCACACACACACAGTACACTAACCACACCCTCACAAACACACACAGCACCTTTAAAAAAAAACGCAGCACCCTCACACACAGCACACTAACAGCACCCTCACAAACACACACACACACACAAACAGCACCCTCACAAATACACGACACTCACACAAACAGCACCCTCACAGGACAAACAGCACAGTCACAAACACACATACACACATACACACAAACACCCTCACATCACACTAACAGCACCCTCACACACACATCACACTAACAGCACACTAACAGCACACACAGCAGTGTGTGTGTGTGGATATATCTATCTATATATATATATATGGATATATATATATAGATATAGATATATAGATAGATATATCCACACACACACACACGGCGTGTGTTTGTGCTTTAGGGTGCACACCCAAATGCAATAGGCTGCGCACGCCTATGTCTGGAGACCAGTCTATAACATCATATCAAAATAAAACACTTTAGTTCTAAATGCACCTACAGAGGCCAACTCTAATAATGAAGTAGCGTGGCTACCTACCAGATGAAAGACGTGTATGATAATACTGGTTTAACCTATTAAAGGCAAGTCTAACCGCAAGCCGCATGAAATAGGGAAACAACCATGAAGTGGCCCTCACGTAAGTAGAGGGGTCGATGGATAGAACTGATAGATCGGCTACAGGAAGCCAGTACTTGGCAATATGTACCTTAATACGCCAAGTACCCTGCTCGTATGTGGGAGAGCAACATGCTAGCAACCTGATGCTGGGGACCCCGGAGAGTCGGAGGGGTTCCCTAGTTAAAGTGCTATGCGAAACCACTCACAGTTTACTCGGAGACTGCACCCGACAGCGGCAGGTCCTCACCGCGAACACTCACTCTGGATTAACCTGAAGACCCCAAGCACTGCCGGCGAGCAGAGAATGACGTCGGGAACACATGAACCGGAAGTAAACAAATCACTTCTGAGATTGTCGATGACAGGTAAGCAGGGGCTCACTGGGTTTAAATAGGGATGATTGTGCCTCCCACAGTTACAGGCCAAGCCTTCTATATATATATATGCACATACATACAGTGGTTCCTCGGTTTATGAATTTAATGCGTTCTCCGGGACGTTTCGCATTGCTAAAAATTCGGAAACCGAAACACTGTTTCCCATAGGAATACATTGAAAACCAATTAATGTGTTCCAGAGGTCTTTTATCTGTTCTAAACTCTTGATTAACCAAACAATAACATTTCAAACATCCAACTTCAACTTTTAAAACATCACACATTAACTTTTAAACATTGCAGACTTTTCAAACATAGTACAGTACACTTCAACTGTGTACATAGATCACATGTCAACAGGGAAAACATGGAAAACATAAAAACTATTTCAACACTAATTGGAAGAAGAGGAGGTGTAGGGCAACTGGGCATCACTAACACAAGCAGGTTCTTCTTCATGTCTAGGTGGTTTTTGTAGGAACCATTCCATTGTCTGCTTCCCCTGGTGCCTTTTAAGCATCCCTCGGAAAGGGGACATGTCGGTGTCAAAACTGTTGACAAGTCTTTGGGCTAGAGCCTTATCTGGGTGGTGCTGCTGTAAAAAAGTCTGTAGGTTTACCCACATTTGGCATGCCTCCTCGAGTTTCATGGAAGAGAGCTGTTTCTCACTTATTTCCTCTTCCTCGAATGAGATCTGCTCGTCAATTGCCTCTTTCTGCAATTCCACCAGATTCTCAGTGGTTACAGTTGTGTCCCTCCACCAGCTTGCAGACATCCTTCTCCGTCACCTCCAGGCCTATGGTCCTCCCCAAGGAAACAATCTTTTCCAACACTGTTGACTCTTGTGCAGGTGCAGAAGCATCGGAGGCAGGTTTCACAACACAGTCTGGCCACAGGTTGCTGACTCAGGCCCAGGCAATGGTGATAATCTGCAGATAGCTCACAATGTCAAAATGCTCTCCCCTTAAAATTCAAGGAGGGTGAGGCTTCATTGATCTGTCATCTCAAAGCATAGCCAGAAAAGCTCCCTTGTGTAGAGATTTTTTTTTTAAATTGGAGATGACCTGCTGGTCCATTGGCTGGAGTAGTGGGGTGGTGTTAGAAGGAACATGACCTTGATGAAGTTAAAGTCCTCCAGAAAATCTTCCTTGAGTCTTGGAGGATGAGCAGGAGCATTGTCCATGAGCAGCATGGTCTTGAGTGGCAGGTTATTGTTCACAAGATATTGCTTGACAGTAAGACCAAAAAACCACATTGACCCACTGAACAAACAAGAGGCGTGTGACTCAAGCCTTTAGGGTGGACCATCACAAAACTCTCAACTGCTCCTTGTTTATCTTGTGTTTCTTGATGGCCCATGGGTTCTCTAAATGGTAGATGAGCAGGGGCTTGATTTTAAGGTCCCTATTGGCGTTGGCGCAGAACAGGAGGGCGAGACATTCCTTCATCGGATTGTGGCCAGTCAATGAGGTCTCCTTTTCCGTGATGAAGGTACACTTTGGCATCCTCTTCCAGAAGAACCTAGTCTTGTTGCAGTTGAAGACCTGCTGAGGAAGGTAGCACTCTGAAACCATGACCTCCAGTAGCAAACCCCTCAGCTGCAGCAACATCGAAACTGCCGGTCTCTCCATGCCTGACAGTGCTGTGGATGCCAGATCTGGTCTTGAACCTTTTGAACCACCCCATGCTGGCCTTAAAGCCTTCTGCATCGGCTGACATTCCTGGCTGTTGGTTGAGGAGGTCAGCGTGCAATCCAGAGTAGGAGCAACTTTTAGACCTCCTCCAGAACAGGTGGCCGTTGCTTGGAGACCCTGGTGACTCCCTTGCCTGCATCTCTTCCAGTTATCTTCTCTTTCATTTTTAGGATGGTAGCGATTGTGGAGGCACTCCTTCAATACTCTTTAGCGAGGTCAGTCAATTAAATTCCAAAAGAAAAATGCTTTACACACACATGTGCTGGCATGGAAATCACCCCACAATGCAGAACACACAGTAACAGGCATACACAGCACATGAGCTGGCATGGAAACCACAGTAAAAAACATGCACAGCGCATGAGCTGGCATGGAAACAGTAAAAGCCATGCACAGCACATGAGCAGGCATGGAAACTAACCCACAATGCAGAACACAAAGTAACAGGCATACACAGCACATGAGCTGGCATGGAAACCACAGTAAAAGTCATGCACAGCACATGAGCTGGCATGGAAACCACCCCACAATGTAGAACACACAGTAAAAGGCATGCATACAACAAAGCTCAGCTCCCTACCTTTCCACCTCTTGAGAAATGCACCAAAAAGTCCTAAAACCGCGGCAAATGGCTCCAAAAGGCTCTAAAACTCACTGCAAAAACCTCTCCAACACCTCTCCAGTATGCAGGGGGGCGGTGCTATAAACTGGGAAACTTGCTTCGTATTGTGAAAAATTTTTTGTAAATCAAGGCTTTTTTTTCCAATGAATATTCATTCGTAAACTAAATATTTTGTTTACCGAGGCGTTAGTTAACCGAGGTACTACTGTGTATATATATATATATATATATATATATATATATATATATATATATATATATATAACATAGATTTAATCAAACTTTGGTACACACACAATTTGGCATTGATTATTTTTTTTAAATAATATGGTCCCTGAGAAAGTTCTATGTACAGAACAAAATGCCTAGGACATTTTGTTTTACTTTATATGCTTATTTTACCCCTCCCCACACACACACACACGAGGCTCTTACCCAAAACAGTTCCAAACTAGACCGACCGCAAGACCTGATTTTTAGTTTAAAAACCAAACTACCGAACATAGTCAATAGTCTTACCCTGGAGCTTGTTCCCAACATCAAGACGAACGATTCCAGCGAACAGTGCCCTTCTAGGTGGTGTAGAATCCAAACGCAGATGATGATGGAAGTCTAGTCTAGTGGTTGATGACCAAACACCACTGCCTATGTTCATGCGAACAAGATGGCCACCACTCTTGGTCGTTCATGTGAACAGTGGCCACCCAAACAAACAATTAGAACACTGCGATTAGAATCATTACCAAGTGTTAATAGGGTTTAACAAGCTCCGGGTGGTCTCTGGTTCGTGCGGCTGTTTGGTTCTCAAACCACAAAATTCCAATTGCACAAACAGAGCCTTTTAAACGTATATTAGCCAAGGTCTATTTCAGGGGTCATAGTCCTGAGGCAAGAGGCTGGCTAGCAGGCCCCTCCAAGAACTCATGGAGAGGTTCAGTTCATCACACCAAGCAATATTTATAGTGGAAGCGACAGAATTAAAATTGGACCAATAGTTCTAAAAAACATTTTTGATTTGCACAAAACTAATAAAGCTCAAAAAGTAATCAATATATTTTAGCTATAATATCTGCTCAGACAAGTTATAGTATCCTAGATGCTTCTGATCAGATGAATAGAGTGCCGGGTAGAAATGAAGGTCATGATTACAATACCTATAAAGGAACAAGTCTTTATGATCGATATTTACATGTCTAGACTAATACAAGATAAACTCCTGTAGGAAATTACACCCATCTTGCTACAGATAATTCAATTCTAAATTTTGCCAAAGAGAATAATAAAATAGATTAGAGGAGAACCTCATTAAAACATAAATTCAAGGTATGGATTACAAACATATTTAGGCAACATCAAAAGACGTTAATGTCCTTCTCCAGTACAGAGAAAATATTTAATACTCGCTTTAAAATCAGAAGCTTGTCCAAATGCATAACTTCCAGACAGGCTGAAAGGCACCCTGGAATTCCATATACTGTTGAATAAAAAAACAAACAAAAAACAGTCATATCCTGCAATTAACAGGGAGGAGAAATTAAACTTAAAATCCTACCATTCTCTTGAAGTATATTGTATGGTGTATATATAGCATAAATCTCATTGACGGTGGACAGGGGCCATCAAGTACACTCTGGCTGATTTCTCTTCCTTGCAACACTTTGGTAGGTACTAAACATTGCATACCAGGAAAGCTATTTGCCATTTTTTTAAATGCTCTGACCCAGTCATATAGCCATCACTATTTGGCCTTTGTCAAAGTCTCTCAGATCTTTTCCCTTGCCCATTTTTATGGCTTCCAACACATGAAATTCAAGAACGGATTAGTCACTTGCTGCCCAAATTATTCCACCCCTTAACAAGTGTCATTAATATGATATAATCAATGTTATTCAGTTGGCTTAATGTGGCTGATAAGTGTATATATCTGTTGTAAATTCAGTTTGTACTGATCCTGTATATATTTGTATAGTGCTATAATATCCTCTCCGAGGCACATTTTTCTAAGTAAAGAAATGCAGTTTTTATAGCTTTTCCTCATACCTAATGTTTTCCATCATATTATTAATTCTGTAGCTCATCTCTTCACTTTTTCTAGTTCTGCAATATCCTTCTTTAAAACTGGTGCCAAAAACTGCACCACATATTCAAAGTGGGGTCTTACCGTTGATTTATAAAAAGCCAATTTATATTTTAGTCATATGAATCAATACCCCTTTTTAGACATGACAGCACCTTACTAGCTTTCGCCATGGCTGACCAGCATTGCATACTGTTTCCTACTTTATAAAACTGTTCCCAAGTCATTTTTTTGTTGATGTTATCTCCTATTTAGCATTGTGGATTCCTTGTTGCAAAATGCATGACTTTTGTTTCATCTGCAAACACTGACACATGACTTTCAATACCCACTTCAAGATCATTTATAAAGAGATTAAAGAGAATTGGAGGCAAAACCTAATACACTATCCTTGTATCCAATTTGAAAATGTTCATCCCCCATTGAAAATCAGGTTTATTGTCAAAATTTACAGACTTTTAGCTGTTTGGAATGAACAAATCAAACAAAAGCAATTAAAATAGCTCAACACAATGAATTCTTCAAGTGGTTTCCCCAAATTCAATTGAAAATGCAACTTATAATGACTTCTCCAGTCTCAACAGTCTCTTTTCCAGTCTCCAGTCTCAACTCTCTGAACAGAATCCCTCTGTAAGAACTTAACTATCGGCTTCTCAGATATCTGACACTTCTGGGTTCACAGACCAATGACACGCCCCCTTCTCTGACACAGTCTTCCTCACACTGCTTAGAGGGACCACGCTTGATTATTTTGAAGCTTCGGGATCATTCAGACTAGCTGCAAACAAGCTCTTGCTAAACTACTATTTATGTGTACCGAACCTGGTCTGTTAAAACCGCTCCATCTCCATTCTCCTTCCATTTGACTTCGGATTACCTTTGGAATATTCCTATTTCTTCAAACCTTCCAAGTAACGGCAAGTTATATATATTTGGATTTTTTTCGTTCTACTGGCACTTCAGTACTGATTGCTAATCTATTTCAGTGCCTCTTGAGTTCAATTAATGGAAAAGCTAAACCTTATGTTTCACTACATGAACTGGTTCTCGCATATAACTCTGCTTATCAAACTATCTTCATATTGTATTCCATAAAGCTACATGAACTCTGCTAATCAAGCTATCTTCATATTGTATTCCTTAAAGCTACAGGAACTCTGCAGATCAAACTATCTCGTATTGTAATCCTTAAAGTTACGGTGACTGTTCTCAGCAATCTACCTTCAAGTAAAATTCCTTAAAGGACGACTACAGTGCCAGGAAAATATACTCATTTTCCTGGCACTATAGTGCCCTGAGGGTGCCCCCACCCTCAGGGTTCCCCTCCCGCCGGGCTCTGGGGAGAGGAAGGGGTTAAAATCTTACCTTTCTACAGCGCCGGG